AACTATTGTGAAATTACAGACGAGCTAAATTAAGCCTCAACTCAGAGTGTACTGGTGAGTAAATAATATTTGAACATGGAAATGTAACCTTAGAGGAAGTGCTTGCACTTCAAATGGCCCGACTGAACCAAAGTCTACATTCCTCATTTAAAGCCAATTTATTAAATTCAATTCATTTCAATTTTATTTATATAGCACCAAATCACAACAACAGTTATCTCACAGCGCTTTTCATAAAAGAGCAGGTCTAGACCGTACTCTGTGATGCTATTTACAGAAGCTCAACAATTCCCACCAAGAGCAAGCACTGGGCGACAGAGGCAAGGAAAAACTTCCTTTTAAGAGGCAGAAACCTCGAGCAGAACCATGGCTCAGGGTGGGCGGCCATCTGCCTCGACCGGTTTTAATTTATGGAGAATACAATAAAAGCAAAACCTGCTGTGAGAAGTGCACAGCTTGTGTCACTGCATTGTGGCCCATGATGAGTTTAATCTCCAAAGTTTGCAATCACTAATAGTTCTTTCAGTTTAAAGATAAACATATAAGAGAAATGTCAGGATGCAGATTTAGACCTTTAGCACCAAGTTTTGTTTGTTCCCATATTCTTTTTGTATTTTGCAAGTTGCTTGTGTACCCCACAACTGTGCAGTTGTGTGACAGTAGCAGTTTGGGGCTTCCTGGGCTCCTGTGGCTAAACCTATCACAAGATACCATCTGTTTTTCTTTTCATTAGCTTCATAAGGCTAAGTGTTTGAGTTTGAGTCTGAGTTTGTTCTGGCACCAGTTTGTCTATTATTTTCTCCCCTCAGTTACAGCAAACATAAACTCTGATGACATGAAACAAGCTTGGCTGTCATCATTATTATCGTCAGTATAGCCACCATCACCGCAGATATTCAGACAGTGATTTAACGTTTTAGTGTCTGCAGTCACACTAATAGTTCTGTGAGGCTCTACTTTGGCCTTGCTAATGTTAGCTAAATACTACCATGCTCACAATGACAATGACTTATGTGTGTGTCATGTTTTTACGTGATGTTTGTCCGATTGTTGTTTTGATGTGTTTAGATTGTATATTCTAATATAATAGATATTTTACTAAATGTATCTTAATTTTTTAGTGCTATGTACTATGTAATCTTTTTTAGGGTGACTCTTACCATCTGTCTAGGGACTGCAGATGAAAAATAGCCTTTAGGCTAATTCTGGCATATTGACAGAAATGTTTATGAATATGCACTGTCCCTGTAATAAATAAATTAAAAAAAAAATGCTACCATGCTTATGTTTATTAGGTTCACCATCTTCGTTTAGGGAGTAGCATGCTAACATTTGCTAATTCGCACTAAACACAATGTATAATTGAGGCTGATTTCATTCATTTTGTAGATATTTAGTGATAAACCAAAGAATCTTTGATAAAAACAATTTGACCAGATGATGCCACTAATTAAAAAGTCGGGTGATCACCAAAATGATTACACTTCCTCCTCTGCAGACAATGAATTTACTTTTCTTGGGCCTGCCCATAGGATCAAGTAAACACCTGGCTCCTTAACACACACTCACAAGGAAAGGGCCTCTCGTCATTCAGTTTGTAATCATTAATTTATTATGAAGAGAGTATCTCATACATCACTGTTTCATAGTTATTTGGTCATGCGTGTGTGTGTGTGAGTGAGTGCGTGTCTGGGGTGAGGATGTTCAGGTAGCCATAACACCCTCAGATGTAAATATTATTTTATTTCATTTCATTTCATATCATGCACAAACCTGGTACATTGCACATATTTGTTGTTAATTGTTAATCTTTGTTGTTGTATATTTTTACGTTATAATTTATATGTTTATGTGCACAATACGCTCTTCTGTTGCAATACATCTGCACAACACACACCTGGAATAATGCACATGTAAATATCTGCAACATTGTTCTTTCTCTGCAAATAGTTGTATTATTTTTCTCTATTCTTTTATTATTCTTATATAACTTGCATTTGTCTATTTCATATTTATATATTTCTACATTTATTTATGTCAGCCGTATGTTTGTCTACGTGTAGCACCTTATCACCAAAGCAAATTCCTCGTATGTGTAAAACACTACTAGGTAATAAAGCTCTTTCTGATTGCGGAGATAAGTCTGTGACGTTAGCAAACGCTGGAGGGCTGCATGTTCCAGTGAAAGAGATTAAGAGGTGTTTTGGCAGTGAAACAGATAATCTTTAAAGCTTTTATCAACCAGATCTTTAGAATTAGAAGAGTCACAGTTTTAAATTTTGTAGCACTTTGAATGTATAGTCAATATTATGTTATACGTAAGATATAATATATAAATATAAATATACTGATGACCTGTCCAGGGTGTACACCGCCTTTCGCCCAATGTAAGCGGGGATAGCCCCCCCCCCCCCGTGACCCTGTACACAAGATAAGCGGTTGACGATGGATGGATAAATCTAAATATATAAGATATATAAATATATAGGATTTATAAGATATAAATATTATCTCTATGTAAGATATCCTGAGCTGGATGTGAGCTGCACCCATTTCAGCATCTGTATCTCAGTCTGTATCTGTTTCATCTTGTTCGTCACGTCTGACTTTTATTCTACAAGACGTTTCTTTTGATCTATTCACACTTAGAGACGGTTTTTCTTTCCTTAAGACCAGCAGAAACACAACAGAACTTTATGTGGGACTGGATCTGGTTTTGTGTCAGTACATCTGCCAAGAGAAATTTGTGTTTTCAGACATTTGCTTGTCTATTTGCAAGTTGAGGTCCTGGGATCAGCTTTTGGTTAGGATCCAGACCTGGAAGTTCTGCTATTTCACAATGTGTTTTAGTATTGTTTATGTTTTTGTTTGTTTGTTTGTTTGTTTTTTTAGCTTTTATGTTGTGTTTATGTGCTAATGGGATAATCAGACATCTTAAGCTTTAACATTAGACACTGCTGACTCATGTACCATGTGTCAGATAATGCAAACCGGAAGATGAATGAGGAACTCATAAACCACTACGGAGGTGGCAGTGGTGCAAGTTGAAGAACAATAATGTTTATGGGGATTCTATGTTTTCTAGTTTAAGAACCACTTTTGTTCTAGACTGTGTTGAAGTGATCCAGTAGGCTACCTGACAAGTCCACCTACACAGAGCAGTCACAAGACATGCCGCCCTCCTAATCTCCCTCCCCTTCTTCTTGTGTTTTCCTGACCTCCTCCTCTGAAAGAACATCATCCCTTTCTTTATTTTTTCTTCACTGGAAAAAAATGAAATTTGTACAGCCCAAAGGAAACACAGAGTGCTGCTTAGGGAGAAATTAGATGAGTAGAAGCAGGAGAAAAATCTGTGAAAGAAATATACATGTAACACCAGGTGAGAAGCAAAAAAAAAATCAAAAAAAAATCAAAAAAAAAAAAAATCAATAAATTCGGCGGAAGAGGAGTTATTGGAAGCAAAAAAATAACAATGAATATAATGCATTAATGTGCAGCCACATTATGGTTTACTGTCACTAGGTTTATTATCATTTTGCACTGATCAGGCCAACTGTCCTGGCCTCCTGATTCCATCTCTGTGGAAGCTAAATGTTTACTGATCACCTAACAGCGGTAAATGGAGGCAATATAAGTGATGGGTAGGCTAATTGCAGTTGTAGTTGGAATTACCAATTATTGTGAAAACCATAAGATCTCTCAAAGTGAACTGAATGATTTGAACAATTCCACCTGAGGCCTAAAGTGGGCTCTAGTGGATCGAGTCGGTTCTGAACCAGCCACTGTTCTGTAGCCACAGACCTTGCATCGTTAGGCAGATGCGTTAAAACAGCTGGTCGGTTACTGGCCCACTGTCTTAGCTCGAAGCCTCCCTCTGCTAGCAGACTGCATAGTTTGTCCACGCGCTCCTTGGCGGCTGGCGTGGAGGGAAGGCTTTCTAGGCAGTTGTCCACATGATCCGCTCTGTTCCTTTACATGAGGAATTCACAACAGATTTCATGTGAGCTTGTTACATAACATGGCCAATCGTTACACTAACTCACCACAGGTGACACAAAGTTAGCAAACTGCACAGCAGACTTACCTGGAGAGGACAAGGATGAACCAGATCCTGAATCACGAACTGGTCGAGATGAAACCATAAACCGGACTATAGTCCTTTTGCTTGTTTTATCCTAGCACAACCCTAGTAGTGTAGTAATATCCAGTCAACTCATGGGAGGCAATGTTGCTACCGCCCCCTGCTGGTGTAGCTAGTAAACTGCTTTTAAACTTACAAATATCTGTTTACACATCTCGGCGGGACAGAGTGGACAAAACTCCGCGAATGTGTAAAAACTATTTTGTGTGTATAAATGGATCCACAAATGCGTAAATAACACTTTGAATGTGAAATTAAAATATGTGTGTACAGATTAAATTGTGCATATTTGCAAATCACACTGTATTTTTGTGGATATGATTTTCCATAACACCAATGTAAAAATACATGTTTTGGGTAGTGAGATATTTGTGTATATTTTTTTTACAGATCTTTGCAGTACACGTTGGACAAAATTCCACAAATGCGTAAAAAGGAAGTTACAAATGTGACATGACCTTCAAATTCACAGGAAATGATCCATAAATGTGCAAAACCCATTTCACATGTACAAATCACCCTGTACTTTTGTGGATATGATTTTACACATCACAAATGTACACATTTGTGGATTATCTTCAAATATTAAAGTCCAATTAAAACTGCCATAATTATTACTTATTCTACTTTGAACGCACGTATTCAATGTAGTGATGAGCGTCTACACTGCAAGAAGAACGAGAAGTACGGAGTGACGAAACGTGCTCTGTAGAGCGGTTATGTAGATAGAAATGGCTCATTCTAAGGTAGTGAAACATAAGGCTTCATTATGTAAGGTCTTTATACACCACTGAAAACGAATATGGATACAATACTGCATTTCTGTCACTAGATCCTCAGAAAAATTAGACAATGAACCTTTAACTGAAATAGCAATGTTTTATTGGCCTGAGTGAATCAAAGGTCGGACATGAACCTGACATCATGCAGTATTAACATGCAACATGCTAACATTTATCTCAAAACATCTGGCTTTAACAGTCTTTGATCAGCAACATTAATTCTAAAGAAAAAAGCAAAATCCAGCCACTACAAACAGCAGATCACTATTATAAATGTATGTTGGTGTACATGATGTGATGCAAAACTATGCATTTTGAGTTGTAGGCTGTTGTAGGTATGTTTAGTCAAAATCTTTTTTTCCTTTTATGATTTTAACATAAGAGCATAAGAAAAATGTTGGCAATAATAACATGTCATATGCGCTCAACCAAAACGGTTGCGTCCTATCGAGTCATGACCTGTGTGGTGACCACTGAGGTGCTGACCGGACGGCGGCCTCTGATCTTTACCTCACGATTCATCTGGCACCAAACACACACGTAACACCACAATAATTTGCAGCAGTCATCACAGCACGAGCCCTGCGGGAGAAAGAAGGAGACGAAAGAGAGAGAAGGGATAAAGCCGACAGTCAGTGAAATTAATGACAGGGCAGAAACATAAAGTCTCATAAACATAAAAAATATTGACTAAGCCTACTGAAGATATTGTCGCCACATTGTTTTTATTTAAGGAATATTTACTCACACTAAGATGTACAAGAGCCTGGCTACAGTAGACTGGATTTAAGCGGTATTAATTTTTTACCACGTTTTATAACAGACAGATATGAGGCAACATTTGCATTAGTTTGGAGTCATCTTTGCGTCCAACTGGTGGATTTGAGTCCAACATTTACTCTCCTTTTAGTTCTGTTTTGGTATCCATCCCTGAGACAATGTCTCTGTCTCTTTAGCTACCAAATGCTCTACCATCTTCACCAGCTAGTTGCTAACTTGTTGTTGTAAGAATTGGCTTTATTTTATTAAACTCAATTAAGAGGTCAAGGGTCGATTCCCTTAAATTACAAAAACCTAAATTATTTACATTTTCTCACTCACATCTAGTGATATTATTGCTGGCTGGAGGTAATTAAGAAAATATGTTTTTATATGTTTTTTTTTCTTCAGAATTTGAGTGAGCTGACACTAGAGCTGGATAACAGTGCTGATTCAAGGCAAAAAAAATGTCTCATTCTAAGTAAGGAGTGGAACAGACACTGTGTTGCAATCAGGAAAATGCATATATTTCATTATTATTATTATAATTATTAAAGGGGCATTATGTAGTTTTCAGCAGCCACTAGCGATTGCAACCAGGTGTGTGCTCAAGCGCGTGCTCGCTCGAAATCATGAGCGAGCATAATCAGAAACACAACCACTTTCATAGAAATATCGGCTCAATACTCCTGAAAAAAGGCACAGTGACAACGGATATAGACCGACAGGGAGAACAGACAGAGCTTGAAACTCAGGCAAACTCCCACTGCAACGTTACAGTAATAGTTTTATCAGCTGCATGCAGAACTAATCCATGCTCGTTACATGATAACGTTACATTTACTGCATTTAGCCGACGTGCTACATCGTTAGCGCGCCTGCTGCTTTCAGTAACTATCTTTACTATCTGTGAATCTGTCTCCGGAGGCTCAGCAATGTCTGCACAGCTACATGTATTGGATGATAATGAAACGGTTAGTGAGCTGGACTGAATATTATAATACGATTGTGTCAAACTTTACAACAGTTAGACCGCAGTAAGTAACTTAACTGTAACTAGTGATAGTGGATGGCTCTTCCTCTGGGCCATTTTGTTGCAGTGTTTTATGTTATGTGGGTCACGTTAGTTACAGCAACTGAGGTGGAGAAGCTGTGTACCTGAGTAAAGTTATTGGTAAAGGCTGTATATAAAAACCACAAGAAACATAAACTGAATGTTACGAAGCAAACAGCGGCAGGTCTGAGCTACTGTAGCGTTAGCTGGCTGCTCCTGGCTGCATCACTATAAGCTAACGTTAACAAATCGCTCCACATTTGCTTTTTATCATTACATCCTTTCTGCAGGCTAAATCAACAGTGGTACACAGGATAGTAACACGAGTTGCGTTAGTTGGTGAAGTAATATGGAAAGCTAACGTTATATAACATTGCACCGGATAACATTAGCATCTGCTCAGCGCTAGCTGGCAAGCTAACGTGACTTTCTCTGTGTTTCTCCAGCTTAACTTTGTTATTTCTCGACATCATCTGAACCTGTTTGGTCTGATGGGCAGACATAAACCTTTATTGTTGTTTTGTATCTTTACGTGGAGCCTGTGTTTTATGGTGGACTGCTTGTCATTAGCTGCCGTGTTGTCGCTGATGCAAGCAACGGAGTAAACAGGTGTGTGCTTCATTTCAAAGTGAGATTTGAGCCCATTGACAACTTACATATAGTCCCCTTAATAATAATTAATCTGAAAAAAAAAAATTAAGTCAGCCATAACTGACACTTCAATTGCGCACCCACTCCCCCATTTATACCACCCTCCCTCCCCATCCAGCCTTACTGGGATCCCGTGGCGCTGTCTAATCTCAGAGCGGAGGATGCAGGACACCACACAACAGACGTCCATGGGTGGAATGCAGAAACAGCACCAGCCGTGTTTAGAGGCTGTCTGACACTGCATGCAGGGGAAGCACCAAAGGGCGCTGCAGCCTTGAGGGCAGAAGAGGAGAGGGGAAAAAAAGAATATATGACTTGATTTAAGACATAACATTAAGGCATACTGTAAAGTAAGAATACTTCCAGGACTCCTTGTTCTTCTTTAAGCTGAAGATAGTTCTGAAAGACTTTCGCAGTATGTTTGGGGATTGTTGTCAAGCTGCAGAATAATATTTGAGGCCACTCACATGCCTCCCTTATGGTAGTGCACTATGAATAAGTATCTGCCAGTACTTCTTGGCATTGAGGAGACCATATTTCTGACCAAATTCCCAACTCTGTTTGTAGAAATGCAGCCCCAAACTTGCAAGGAACCACCACCATGCTTCACTGTTGCCTGCAGACACTCTTTCTTGTACTGCTCTCCAGCACTTTGGCGAACAAACCTAACTCTGCTTCAGCTAAGTATTTCAAATTTTAAATCATCAGTCCAGAGTACCTGCTGACACTTTTCTGCACCCCAGTTCCCGTGTTTTTGTGCTTAGTTTAGTTGCTTGGTCTTGTCTCCATGTCGGCGGTATGGCTTTTTGGCCCAAGTCTTCCATGAAGGCCACTTCTGACACCAGACCTCTTTCGGACAGCAGATGGGTGTACCAGGGTTCCACTGTTTTCGGCTCGATCTGAGCTGATGGCACCGCTGGGCATCTTCTGATTGAGGAGTGAAGTAAGCATGACGTGTCTTTCACATTCTGCAGAAAGTTTCTTTGGCTGACCATGGTGTCTGTGGTCCCCAACGTTGTCGGTTTCTTTGTGCTTCAACAAAAGAGCTTGAATAGCACATCTGGAAACCCCTGTCTGCCTTGAAAAGACCTTGCTGATGCAGTATAACTACCATGTGTCAACAGTAAAACGTCTTCAGCAACCTCACCTTGTTAGCTGAGTTTGGCTGTACCTCACCCAGTTTTTTTCCTCCCACACAGCTGTTTCTGTTTCAGTTAATGATTGTGTTTCAACCTACATACTGAACTTACTATCATTAGCACCTCTTTGGTATAATTGTTTAATCACACACCTGATGATAGTACAAGGGTACCTAGAAGAACTGATGCTGTTTTGATGGCATAAGATGGTCACACCAAATATTTGATTTAGATTTGTCTATTGATAAATATAATCTATTAACATTTCTATTTTCGATAGCATTCTGACTTTACAGCATTTTCTCATCTCACACTTGTTTTGATTTCCCTAAATACAATGACCAATCATGTGACCCTGTCCTCCCAGGTCTTCAACCTAATTTAAAGAGGAACTTTAAATCTAAAGTTTCACAGTTGCATAAAAATCAGTTTACCCGTCATGTAGAGTGCTACTCAGAGCCAAAAATGTTTGCTGCTCGTTAATCTTATTTCTTTTCAGCACACAGTAGACTAATATCTGAGGGTGACTCAGATGAGTGTATCAACATTTTATGGACTTTATGTTGACACTGTTTTCTACCTAAAAAAAAAAAAATAGTTAGGACAGTTTGTCCAGAAAAGAGTTTCTGGTAGTCTTATCTTCACTTCAGACTCTCTGACTGCTATTGATCCTTAATGGCAAATCTGCATCTATTCCAAGAAGTTGTTTTGTCATGTAATATTGCTCACTTAGCTTTGACACCACTGATCTGCTTAATAAATGTCAGGATTTCAAACTGATCAGTGACTGTTTGTCGAGCAGAGTTGCGAATATTACCTCTACCACTAATATTTCTCCAATGATGGGGAAATATTTAGGTCTGTGTTGATGAACAACACAAACTGTTGAGCAACATCAGTGATGGGTTGACTTACAGGTGCCCATGTCACTGCAGCAATCGCAGAGGCCGGTGCTCCATGTCCCAATGTTTTGGGTGGTTTGGGTCACCATCATCACCTGTGCTGGCTGGTGTTGGACGGCCATGCCTGACGGACACGAGACATAAATGGAGAAACCAGGAAGGGCGTCAGGGGATTGCTCCATACACAGGAAACACTGGATTATGATCAATGCTTTTCAGTGCTTAGTTAAGACAGGAAGAAGGTCACAGCCTGTTTTGAAGCTATACTGTCCACGATGTAGCGACTGTAACTTGTATCTCAGTGTTTTCTGGTTAATGCAAGTGACAACAAAGACCAAGTGTTCTTTACATACCTAATGTATGTACATGACTACATCCTTTTGAGCAAATTATATTAAAGAAAAAACAAAGTGTTTGGGAATGCGCTGGTATTAAAAAGCTATCCTTGTGATGGTCTGACAATGCACAAGTTGGATTACAAGCAATGCATGCTGGGACAGGTTACAGCACCTCTATACCCATTAACATTAGTCACACTTTGTTTTGTCATATGAGCAAAGTGAAGGACAAAATGCTGATTTCTTCCTCATCTCTCTTTGACAACAAGTATGGTGACACCACAGCCCTTAACCCCAAACACCACCCTTTGATTGAACAGGAAAGCCAGCTGTGAGCCCGGAAACAAACAGTCCTCCCCGACCTCACTAATGCTGCTGTGAGTGAGAGCAAAACCCAGCAGACAGTAGACTATCACTCAATTTTGCCCAATGTTGTTTTCAAAGTGCCTTGAGGGGGTTCCAGAGGGTCCCAAGTGAAAAGAAGAATCATTTATTACTACTTTACTACTACTTTATTACTAGACTATTATTCCTTCTGTAAGTAACATAATGACAAAATGTATTAGTATTTCGGTCTAGGGGTTTATGCGCTTTCTGTAGTAAAACATCTTAAAGCAAAGATCCTGTCAGATGGGGGTCTGTGATCTAATTTGTGTCTATTTAGGGGGGGTCCTTGACATCAGTGCTGACTACTCTCATGCATGAGAGCATGTGTGTGAGACTCCAGCAACTGACAATTTTCACACATTGTTTGCCACAGATAAGTTTTGTCATGCAGTGCAAACCAACTGATAGATAACATTGCCTTGCAATTCATTTCAGCCCAGCTGAAACACCGCTGCATGCCGTGATAGTAATCAAGTGGACTCACTCTTGTGCTGTGAGTTTGTGACAGGCTGATAATAACTGGTAGAGTTTTGCGATAATTTAAAAACTGAGGCTCAAAATTGCTCTTTTTGGACCCAAGTCACTGCTCCAGGATGTTTCCCACTGAAGCACCAGTAAGTTGTACTTTATCAGAGGTGCTTAATTTAACATGTGGGTGGCTCTGTGGTGAGATTTCTGCCTGAAGTGTTTTCAGTTAGTTTGTTTTTTGTCTCACCCATTACAGTCCCACACGGTTTTTTGTCTGTCAAACAGTCTGAAGAGGGTACTACCATAACAGCAGAGCAATAATGTAATGCACAGCAGAGTAAGGATAGGGCAGATAGACTAGACTTAAAAACATTATGAATTTCCATTAAATGATGATGTTATTCTCGTAATATTATGACTTTTTCTCGACATGTCAGAGAACACAGATATTTATTTTTTATTATGCTATTTATGTTTTTAATCTGTTTTAAGCGTTCATAACTTCTGGTTTTACTTTAAAGTGTCTTTGAGTGTCCTGAAAAGCGCTATAGAAATAAAATGTATTATTATTATTATTAGTGAGAGAGATTGAATGTGCAGAAAGTTTTGAACATGAACACAAAACCTGCTGAAAAACAGGAGCAAATAAAGAAATTTTAACAATTAAAAATAATTAATAATCCTAACCCATGCACGAAAGCATATGACACATACATACACATACAGGACTAGAATTTTATGCAAAGTTTCGTGAGTTTTCCAGCACGTTTAGGCTGCCAAAAATGTGCTTCATCTGCAGAAAGAAGAAGAAAAGAAATAAAAACAACAAAAAACAATAGGTTCCTTGTATGTTTCATGTTCGGGCCCAAATAAAATGGCAGCCTATGCATATGCATGGTGTGTAGCTTATATTTTAAATAGCCTGCACTGTAGCCTACATGTAAAAGCCTAGGGGCAAAAGTTAAAAATTATAACCTATACTATAAATTATGTATCAGTTTCATGGTCTGTATTGGAATTATGTTCAATTTCGTCGTCCCTATCAAATTAAAATAATAAACGTTAAACTTTAAATATAGCTGTTCATGTCCTAAATCACAGCTCCCACACAACTAACTAGCCAAATCTAAAACCAGTTGTTTTCATGTGTAACATTACCATTAACCATAGACTGTATAAAAGAAGTGGATGTAGTCATTATGACGTCACCCGTTGATTTGTGGACTGCTGTTATGAAGCCTCAAGTTTGGCCGATAGGGCGCCGCCATGTCAAGTTTTTGCAACCAGGAAGTGCCCGGACCTACCATCTGTAGTCTATAATTGAATTCTCCTAAGTGTGTCTATTACAATCGACCTTATGTGCAGTTGTACCTTTACATCATATTACACAAAAGAAGAGCCCATAAAATACATAGAGATTTGATCTACAACAAGACCACTGTGAAGATAATTAGGCTACAAATCTAAAGCCTACTACACGGCAGACGTGTGTGTGAGTCTGGGTCTCCTGGAAGCAGCGTCCAGCGTAATCCCGTCTGGCCTGCTGCACATGAGAGCCCTGCAGGGGTGGCTAAAATCCAAGGGATTCTCCCCGAGGGGAAATCCGCTCCGTCTGATACGGGTTACGAGCAGATGCCTTCGTTCCCTGTCTGTATGGAGGAAATCTTGGTTCCTGTCCCAAGGTCCCGTGTTGGGAGCAATCTGTCGCCGAACAATTATTTCAACAGACGCCTCACTCACGGGATGGGGCGCGGTCATGGACGGCCGCTTTGCAAGAGGCTCCTGGGAGGAGCATCATTTCTCTTGGCACATAAATTGCCTGGAAATGTTGGCGGTTTTCAGAGCTCTGAGGAGTTTTCTGCCCGCTCTCCGCGGTCGCCACGTCCTTGTCAGGACCGACAACACGGCGGTGGTAGCCTATTTGAATCACCAGGGGGGTCTGCGCCTGCGCCCTTTATGCAACTGGCACATCAGATCCTCCTGTGGTCCCAGCAGAGACTGCTGTCCCTCAGAGCGACATACGTCCCTGGGACCCAGAATCAGGGAGCAGACCTGCTGTCGAGACAGGGGCTGAGGCCCGGGGAATGGAGACTCCACCCCGAGGTGGTGAAGTTATGTGGTTCTCCCTCTCGCCCCCAGCCCCACTAGGGCTGGATGCCATGGTACAGATGTGGCCCTGGCTGCGCCTGTATGTTTTTCTGGAGCGGGTCCGTCAAGACGGTGTCAGTCTACTGCTGGTAGCCCCGTTTTGGCCGGCCTGAGTGTGGTTCTCGGACATAATATCGCTCCTCGAGGGCCCGCCATGGCAGGCCCCCCTGAGGAGGGACCTGCTGTCTCAGGCGGAGGGCCAGGTCTTTCACACTTGCCCCGCCCTGTGGAGACTGTGGGTCTGGCCCCTGAGGGGGCCCAGTTCCTGGAGGTGGGCCTAACGGCGGGGACAGTCGAGATGCTGCTCAGTTCCAGAGCCCCGTCCACGAGAAGGACGTACGGCCTGAAGTGGAATGGGTTTGCCACCTGGTGTAGAGAACGGGCGGTGGACCAAGTTACCTGCCCGGTGACTATGGTACTGGAGTTCCTAAAGCCAGGAACGTTTCTCTGCTGGCCTTTCCCCATCCACACTCAAGGTATATGTGGCTGCCGTGGCGGCGTTCCACACCCCTCTGAGGGATGGGCCTCTGGGGAGGCTTCCACTGGTCGTGCGCTTCCTCCGTGGAGCACGGAGGAATGAGACCCGTGACTCGTTCCAGGGTTCCCACTTGAGACCTGGCGGTGGTTCTCGAAGCGCTGGCTGAGGCCCCCTTCGAACCCCTGGAGTCGGCTGAGGCCAAGCACCTGACCCTTAAGATGGCCTTCTCCTCGCTATCACCTCTCTGAGGAGGGTGGG